TCCGTTTAAAAAACGTTTTGCACCGTTTTTGTCGGGGCTGAACGCCGCCCAGGCAGCTTTCAGTGAATGAACAACGCAAATGTACTCAATAGCGACCTCTAGAGCTCGACAGGCCCAACAAACGCTAGCTCTCTTCCGGAAGTGACTCATTCCCTGATTGTCAACATGCAAGATGGCGACGCACCACAGGCAGAACGCTGCGGGACGGAGGAAAGTCCAGGTAATCATTTACAGAAAATGTTTCGTAACTTTAAAACCATGTATTAGTGAATTTATAATACGTTTACTTGTTTCAGGAGTGTTCAAGTGTTGCCAATATAGCGTCCATAATATTTACCAACCGAAACGTTACCACCCTTACAAGAATTACTGTGGTGTTACTATAGTCCAGTGGTGATATGTAACGCAAACGCAATGGCATTTAGTCATATTTAAATGTGTCCAAATGCTTTTTGGACCACTGTATAGGTTTATATTCATGTACTTAAATTTGTTATTTTAGTACAATTGTCTGCTTATTGATTAGGTTCATTAGATTAAAACAATAACGTTATACCATTGCATAGATGTTGTATAGCCTTAAAATGAAATGTTATACACTTAATGGAGATTTGCAAGACACACATAACCTACTTTTTCCATATCTGTAGTAAATTGGTAGTTTGGTAGACTGTAGGTAGTCTCTGATTGTCTAATAAACTGAAGTTATTAATAATGATGTGTTTACAGGTTTCCTACGTGATTAGAGATGAGGTGGAGAAGTACAATCGTAACGGTGTGAACGCTCTTCAGCTGGATCCTGCTCTCAACAGACTCTTCACAGCCGGCCGAGATTCCATCGTCAGGATATGGAGTGTCAATCAACACAAAGTACAACCTGCATTTTTCATGATTTATGAATATTAATGCCCTTGGTCCCATGTTTTGTTACTGTGCAACCACACTTTCCATTTTGAGCAACAGTGTTAAATTTGTATCTCCCTCAAAGGCGTATTTTATCCCCATTCTGTCTCTCTGTGGTTAAATGTTTCTGATAAGTCCAACTAACAGCCGTTTACTGCAGCAGGATCCTTACATCGCTTCAATGGAGCATCACACGGACTGGGTGAATGACATCATCCTCTGTTGTAATGGAAAAACATGTACGTCTAAGCGCCTTTTACAGAAACTTCATGCTCAAATCTCATCAAATATATTCTGAGCTTTAGCCAGTTTCGGTGGACTGTTCTGTGTTGCAGTGATATCAGCCTCCTCTGACACCACCGTGAAAGTCTGGAATGCACACAAAGGGTTCTGCATGTCCACGTTACGGACACATAAGGTACATTTCTTATTATATTCATCTTAGTTTGTTGCTTTAATTTTGTATAGAATTTTCATGCATAAGGGTTATTCTTGCATTGCCAGACATTTGACTATTGACACAAAATTTGGTCATTTAACAGCTCCAGGAATTTGCATAGAAAACAGATTAAAGCTTGACATTTTGAGAAAGTTCTTGCCATTTTGTGTGCAGTATGATTATGAGACAAACTGATTTTGATTCGCTCTTCAGGACTACGTCAAAGCTTTAGCATATGCGAAGGAAAAGGAGCTGGTGGCATCAGCCGGGCTGGACAGGCAGATCTTCCTGTGGGATGTGAACACACTGACGGCTCTGACTGCCTCTAATAATACAGTCACCAGTGTGTAAACTCTCTTAATCATTCTGTCTGACACTGTCTTCCTTCTGAGTCATCGAGTTAGGGTTGAAGCATGTAATTAAGCAGATGATTATGAAAACCCATTTCTTCCGTAGTGAATGCAGCACTGCATCCAGTGTTGTTATAGTATCGTTGAGATACTGTTATAGGTTTTATTAAAAGTTGGATTTTTTATATTTTTTTTAGTTGTTAAAGTTTTAGTAAATTTCTTGTCTTTTTGACATTTGTATTAGTTATAGTTTTTTTTTAATATGTCTATATAGTTTTTTTTTTTTAGTTTTACTTAAGTACATCAAGTTAAACTGAAAGAAAATGAAATGTTGCCTCGGTAACTAGCTTAAATAAGTTTAGGTTTTTGTATATTTTATTTCAGTTAACATTTATTTTATTTCAAAATGTTATCTGTTTATTTTATTTTTTTAATTTGTTAAGCATAATAACCCTGATTGCATCCATCATTTCTGTGATAGCTTCCTCACTGAGTGGAAACAAGGACTCCATCTACAGTCTGGCCATGAATCAGACAGGAACTGTGATCATCTCAGGATCTACAGAGAAGGTTAGTCTCACAGTCTGACTGAGGTGCCCTTGAGCAAGGCACCGAACCCCAACTGCTCCC